TGCCACGCATTCTCCTCTGGTGAAAAACGCTCAATGCCATTTCCAATTTCAGATCCGACCCAGCCACCTGCAAGACCACATTTTCTGATCATTAATTAGGATGTTATTCACAAGAGATACACCAAAAATACTAAATAGATGTATTGAGAAGTGCTCCTTTAATGATAAAATAGCAAATCATTGACACCACTTGCTTTACATGCAAGAAAAATGCAGAAATGATTGAAAATCAAACAGAGCACATATTTCAGTGTGTATTAACACACAGGGTTACATCAGACATTGCATTTAGTGACAAGCTAAAGCCTTCATGCGTGGTAGCAGGGTAACATGTAACCAGATAAAACATGTATATTCGAAGCATGGGCTTGTCACCAGTGGGGTACCTCAGGGTTCTGTACTTGGACCCATTCTCTTTAATATTTTTATTAGTGATATTGCAGAAGGTCTTGGCTGGTGCCGAACACAATGGTTCACGTTGCTATACACATTATACACTACTACTACATACACACACAGCCACAAAACAAACAGTATACACACACACACACACACACACACAATCCTCTAGACTGTAAGCTTGTTTGAGCAGGGTCCTCATCTAATGTTCCTGTGTCATTTTGTAAATATCTCATTTATTGTAAAATGTGCAATGCCAATCAGCAGTGGCTAAGGCCAGTAAAGTATTGTCATGCATGAAAAAGGGCATTAATTTTCGGGATGAGAATATAATTTTGCCTCTTTATAAATCACTGGTAAGACCCCATATTGAATATATCCTGTGCAATTTTGGGCACCTGTTCTAAAGAAGGATATTATGGCACTAGAAAAAGTGCAGAGGTGGGCTACAAAATTAATAAAAGGAATGGAACATATCAGCTATAAAGAAAGGTTGAAAAATTTAAACCTATTTAGTTTAGAAAAACGTCGCCTGAGAGGGGATATGATAACATTACACAAATATATTCGGGGCCAATACAAACAATTGTGTGGAAATCTATTCACAAACAGGACTATACAAAGGACATGAGGTCATGCGTTTAGACTGGAAGAAAGAAGATTTCGTCTAAGGCAAAAGAAAGGTTTTTTGTTTTGTTTTTTACTGTTAGAACAATAAGGATGTGGAATTCTCTGCCAGAGGAAGTGGTTTTATCAGAGTCCATACAGATGTTCAAACAGCTACTAGATGCATACTTGCAAAAATAGAATATAATTTTTCAATGTAGGGTAATAACTTCTCGATCCATTCTGGGGTCAAGAAGGAATTTTTTCCTAGCTTGTTGCAAAATTGGGAGTGCTTCAAACTGTTTTTTTTGCCGTCTTTTGGATCAACAGCAAAAAACAAATGTGAGGAAGGCTGAACTTGATGGACGCAAGTCTCTTTTCAGCTATGTAACTGGGTAAAATCTCACTTTCCTTCAGAATATTGTAAAGTGCTACGGAATAGGTTGGCGCTATATAAAACACCAATAATAATGCTAAACTTAGTACATGCATAGTACACACATTGTAAGTAGCAATATAGTGTTTTAAGAATTTTCCCCTTACAATGTTTTTTTCTTCTCCTTACGTCACTCAGTGTGATATTACGTAACATTGAGGGATGTTCTCTACAATGGTTCCACACATACATAATTAAATTATGCAAGTTAGCACAGACAATATTTTTTGCAAGAAAGGTGGATGTATGAGCATGAGGAGAGAACAGGAGACATGGGGAGGCTTACAAAAGAACAAAAGGCTATATTTACTACATATAAAAGGATTACAATTTACATACATTCAGCAGAGCTGAGAGTTCCTGCAGACTTGATAAGCCACTCTTAGTGGGAATGATCAAAGAGTCTTACAATGTCCTGTCTTACCTGGGAGAATCGAATTGTGTTAATTTATTCAGTTCTCTTCTTAAACAATACAGGCTTTCCTGGTCAGATTTAAGTTCCTGATATCTTATATTATAACTGCAATAGTATATATTTTCATAGATATTAAGGGGTACCACTTACGACACACCGTGAGATGCTGGACGCCGACTATTACGCCTTATGCACGCACATAAATACCTTGTTTATGTGCATCGCTTTACATTAAGAGGAGCAGCCATCTTTGGTCATAGGCATCATTTATCTATCCAAAAAACATGTACTTAACAGAGAGCTAGTGTACACTGAATGAATACAGACATCAAATGATATTGCCAGACATCATTAATAAAGTATGTTCTAACCAGGTGCTTCTTCAGAGTTGCTCCCAGCGAGCAAAAGGTAAGCCAGGGCATTCTAAGATTGCTATAGTGGTTTTGGTATGATCTCCCGGTTCTTTGTCAAAGTTCAAGCCATTTGACACAAACAGAGGATACTCCGGCACCCACAAACATTGATTGTTTGAGAGATTCAGTCAACACTCCCAGCTAATTCCACACAGAAAATTGGCCATCACCATAACCAATAGCGGAAAACAGAACGAGTGGTCTGCCATCACTGTTACCACGACTTCCAATGGCTGTAGTTTATAGCGATTAGAATATTCACTTAACATACATGTAATATGTTCTCTCTGAGCATTATTTTGCAATGCAGTCATGATTATCTTATGTTGAGCAATAAAAATAAACTGTCCAGTAGAAAAACAAGATGGCTTCACACGAATTAATTTATTTATAAACCTTAAAGGAACACTATAGTGTCCACTGTACAGTGCTACAGAATTTTGCTGGCGCTAAATAAATAATAAAAATACATACATGTATTCCTGACAATATAGTTGTAAAAGCACATTTTAGGTCCTCAGCTTGATAAAGACCCAGTTGGGTCGAAACGTTGTTGCTTTTGCCCCAATAAAGCTGCTATTTTTGCTACTATCCAGAGTGCCAGGACCGTTATTTATTCTACATATCTGGAAGTGGGGCCTGGCTGACCCTGGTTGTTTGGGGAGTGCGGTATCCATTATATCTCTACTATAGTTTAAAAACACATTTTAGGTTCCTGGCTACCCTTGCCTTCTTTTAAAAAGTAATTTTGCTTTCCTTATTTCCAGCGCAGCATTGGCCTCGCTGCAGCTGTCCCCACCTCTTTGACGGAGATCATCATATTTATTAATCTCAGCTAATCCATTGGGAGGCTATTGTGCATGTGCGGCAAAACTCTGCGCAGTGCCAATCAGCATCTTCTCATGAACATGCATTGGATCAACATTCAGCGTCACGCTGTGCAGCATCGACTCAGGAAGCACCTCTAGTGGCCATCTGAATGACTGCACC